TTTACTGTAAATTAAGCTGTTCTTTAATGGTGTCCTTCTTTCCCACTTGCTTTTTGACTGTCTTCTCTTAAGCTCTCAAAAGTTTTTCACATGGCTGGTACGATAGCACAAATGCTGTCACCTGGCCACTTCCCGAGAGACTGACATGGAGCTGAACTTGGCACAGGAAGGATGGATTGGTATTTTTGCATGTCCTAAGCAATGTTTACCTTCTCTGAGGGCACCAGCAAACAGTGTTTTTTGAAGGGGGCCTTGAAGTCCTTTGTTGATGCCAGAAAACCTGACAGCAAATTGTCCTGCTCCTGGGCAGGTGCTGGAGGGCTGCGTATGGAGATGCGGCAGGCTCCTTTCATCGCTTGGTTCTCAGCCTGTTGGGTTTACGTGTGCGTATGTTTTGGCCAGGCAGCATGGGAGGCAGTTTTCTAAGGGAGAGGGTATCAATTTGTACATGGGAGTGGGAACTGTAGGCTGGAGGTGGTGTCAGCTGTGTGCGTTTTCTCTTTCAGCACTCTTATCTGTGTGCAGCTGTGTCTAACCTGTGCGATCTGTAATGACAGTTTTCATTACGGCTCCGCAGCGCAGCTGTGGGCTGGGTTGGCGATTTCCTCCACCGCCGCTCCCAGCTGTTTTCTTCCCTTCCCTGGACATGCGGTTTGTCATCTGCTTGCACAGAACCTCCTTGTACTGGGCTGTGACTTCCTGTACTAAATCTGATCCAAATCTGTGCTGTGAGGTATTCCCTCCCCCTTGAAGGGTGGCAAGGAGGAATATAACAGTTGAGAATGAATAGGTGTTGGCTGTGATCTTTACATGTGCTGGCAGCAGATCCCATGACTTGTATTAGCTGCACAAGTTGAACAGATGGAACAAATTGGCAAAATCATGTTCACTCACGCTGTGCTCGAGGAGCAGCTGAGTTGCTGTTTGAAGTTGAAAGTTTGAGTGTGGGTTTTTTTCCCCTTGTAGTGGAATTTCTGGTTATATCGTAGAAGCTATTGCCTCAGTGCTCTGCAGTAGCCCAAACCAGTTAATGAGAGCGGTGTGTGTCCTTCTCTCAGCCAGGGTTTTGTGATTCAGTGCACTCAGCCAGGGTTTTGGTGAGGCAGAGGGAGTATGGAGAGTGTTTCCCCTTTAGATAACAGACTAAATGCTTCCCCTGGTATAAAGTCCACGGTAGGTGGTGAAGTTGGATCAGTGCTGAACTCAGCCCTTTTCTGTTCTGGCAGGTTAGGGCAAAACTTCAGTTGTGTTTTGAGGAGGGTATATATGAAAAGGTGATAGATGCAAATGTGTGTATGGAATTTTGAGTGTGATGATTCTGAAATTGTGGTTCATGAGGGGAACCACTTTTTATTCTAGACAAGCTTAGGTCTCCCCATATACCTCTCCAACCAGAGCACTAAGTTGCTGTCAGAGGTGCTGAGAAGGGTGCAGGACTAGATCCCATCCAAGATCTCCTCTTTGCCTTGGCTGGAAGCTGGTTTACACCAGTAGACATTGCATCTGCAGCTTGCTAGCTCAGCATTGATGGCCTGTACAACATCAGAAGACTTGAGGCTTGTCCCTTGCACTTTCCTGCTTCTCCTAACTTTCTTTGCACAAAATACTGGACATGTAACTCATACTTTAGCTTCCCACACACTGCCAGTGAATGAGGAGCGCCAAATTTAGGAGGCAGCAGGTCGATAATTTTCTTCCTGATTCAGCTGTGAAAAAGAGTCATCCTACTGAAATTTGTTTCTAAGAGTGGTTGCTTACCTGCTTGTTCTGTCTTCCACTTGCTTCCCTTAACTTTTCAGGACTTCAGGATGCATTTGACAGCGACTGGGAAAGTGGGAAGATCACTTACAACAATTACAAAAATGGATCTGATGATGCCGTTTTGGCTTACAAACTCCTGGTACAAACAGGCAACAGAGCAAAGCCCATTGACATCAGCCAGGTATTGTATCAGAGTCCATACTGTTTTGTACAGGAATACACAAGTCAGCAGGAGTGGGTAAAGATGCAAAGAGCATGTTGTAGTCCCTTTATTCATTTTGGTGTGTTGAAAGCCTGAGTTATGCCTTACTGCATGGCCTCACTGACTTTGCTGAAGCCACTTGTTAGCTGCAATCCGGCCTGTGTTGTGAAGCGTTCAGAATCAATGCTGGGAATGTCTGCCCTTGATTGTTACTGCTTGCTGTGTGTTTGGAGCTGCTCCTGTGTCAGACACACTCTGTTTCCACTGAAATGGTGAAAAATGTTTTGCTGCATCCGCAGGTAGATGGAGTCTGGTCCTATGCCAGAGAGAGCCAGCATTAGCCTTGTTGCTCTAAGTGGCGTTGTTCCTGATTTGAATCAGATTGCCTTATAGGGTTGACCTTTGCTCAGCTTTGTGCTGGGGCTTCGAATCCAGCGTTTGCAAGTATTTGGTTAGTTCCTACTGATTTATGCAAAACATAACATTTAAAAAAAGATGTTGATAAATGATAGTGAAAGGGAACTGAAATTGTTACACACTGTACCTATTCTTGTACAGCTACACTGCTGTAGAACTTAGAATGGCAGTTGTTCGACCTGCCTAAGTAAAGTATGTCTGAGGTTATCACAGTTTATGACTGCATTTGCTATAGCTGTTGGTAGGTGGGAATACGTTAGGTTTGACTTCTTACAGTAAAACTAGATTTCAAACCTCTTAAGAAGAAATTCCGCAGTAACCTAGCTTCTCCTCTTCTAGAGTCATCACTGACTGTGCTGTCAGGCAGAAAAATAGTCTTTCTAATGAGCTTCTTGGCAGATCTGCTTATTGTCTTTCTTTTTTTCCTGGCATTAAAGGTGACAGATTCACGGAGTACATTGTTCAAAGTTACTATGGTGTGTAAAACACACTGTTGTATAGCAACATGCAACATGCTGTCAGGTCTGAATGAAGCTTCAGCTATGAATTAAGCAAAGAAAGGGAGTTGAAGAGAAAAACTTCATTGAGATTTTGTTTAGCAGAGTGTACCAGGTACGCTGTGGAACAAATGTGATTGGACTGCAGCTGCTGATATAATTTCCTGTGCCTGGGAGGGAGAAAAGTGTGGTGCACCCACAGGGGCTGAGCGCTGTACTGTGCAGTTCCAGAGACAGCTTGAAGACATACAGTTGTTGCATATCCTGTGGACTAATTGAATCCAGATCCTTGGAATCCAGCTTTTTTTTTTTTTAACTGCTGTCACTGTTGTTTTTCATTTCATTAAAAAGACCTGGATTTGGAGCCAAGCCAGTATTTTAAATAAACAAAACAAAAAACCCCAGTAATACTTTTCACCCACAGAGTCCTCTGTCAGAACTCTAGCTGTGCAGGATTTGGCTACAGAACTCTAGAAACGTACCACTGCTGTTTACCCCACAGATGCATTTGCCCACAGTGACCCAAATAACACAGGGCACTCGTCTACTTTCTTGATGCTGGGCATTTTCTGAATACATAGGTCATAGGAGGCAAGTGTTAGAAAAATTAATACAGATGTTGTTTTATTTTTATAGCTCTCGTCCATTTACTGGGTGGCATTTCCTTCAGTGTTAACAACAGAGGTTAACTGCGCACAGACGTGTATAGGGACTCTTGCCAGGTTTTCTTCCCCTGTCTTTAAATATGTTTCTCGAAGTTGGTTGTTTTTCACTCTTGGCTGCAGGCTTTCAGAATTTGGATTCAATTGGCTATCCGGGAACCATCTGCTGATTTAGTGGTTATTGTAAATATTATATGAATACTAATTTAAAAATAACCACTTTCTACTGTCACTGTTGTACCATTTGTTTTTTTTTTCCATTGTCAAACAATAGTTTACGGATAAGTCACTTCGAGTGAATATCCATACTCTTTTGCTTTTCCCCTCTGATATGTGTGTTGCATCTCCAGGCCATTTGTTGAAAGCTTTACGGCAAGAGCCCTGAAAGCAAAACTCATTCTGAAAGGCTTCTAATTTTTTCCATTTTGCAGTTGACTAAACAGCGTCTGGTGGATGCAGATGGAATCATTAACCCAAATGCTTTCTACATCTACCTGACAGCCTGGGTTAGCAATGACCCTGTGGCTTATGCTGCCTCGCAGGCCAACATCCGGCCTCACCGCCCAGAGTGGGTCCACGACAAAGCAGATTATATGCCAGAAACAAGGCTGAGAAGTAAGTAGCATTTCATCTTTATGTCTTACAGTTTATTATATAAACTGCATGGAGTGCCCCCACTCCTTCCGTCAAGAACCAGTAACTCTGTAGTTGGTTGATGCTACACCAGGGCTCAGAAGCAATATATTGTTTTACTCTGTAGCCTTAGGAGACCTATACACCATTGCAGATGTGGCGCCACTGCAGGGTTTTATCATGTTGAAAAGTAAGGTTTATAACAGTTTAAAGCTCTGAAAATTTATAGTAAGCATTGCTTTTTAGTGTCACCTGAGAGTTCTGTCTGTGACAGAAGCCTGGAGATTGCAAGAAATTCCTGTCTGTGTCATTCTGAAATTTTATCACTATGTCGTGTTTACCCTCCATTATTAATACCTAAGGGATTTTTACCAAGTTAGCTCATATGCTAAGTTACCAACACTGGTATGGTACCAGAGGTACTTAGGCAGGGGATTAGTCCCATTCTGTGCCATTCACTGTTTTTCCTGAGCACCAATGCCAGTTTGCATTGCTATGCTTCAGCTTTCGATTTACTAGGAGAATTGCTCGTTGGACACCAACTAGCAAGGGGAGAGGGCATATAGGGGAGGACTGGTGTGCTTGGGAATGTGATTGGGTAACCAGCTAGCCATGATTCACAAACCCTAGAGCTTTGGGGCAGACAGCCAAGTCTTGTCTTAATGAAAATTTATAGTTGAGATTATAATAGGGCAAATAATGTTTAGCAAGTCAACTGAATGACCCTGCAGGGTCTGGAACACACAACGGCAGTAACGAAATGCTTGTTGTGGAAGCTTTTTCTTTTCCTTGTCATACAGTAGACTTAGCACTACTCTCAAATAGAAGTATGGAGAGTGTTGGTTGGTCAGATTATTAAAAGATAAAAAGTTGCGTTATTTCCTCAGTAAACCATTACTTTTATGTTAGGTTTTTTCCCCAGTCATTTGCATCAGTAACAGAACATGGATTTCTGAATCTGACTTTCAAAACACTCAGTGGAAATCTTAAAAACCAACCAGCCTGATAAAGCATAATTTTTCTTCAGTTTTGTGTCAGTGAACCTCAGTTAATCCTGGGGAAATGACCTTTGAGTTCAAAGGAATTGCAGAAAAGAAGAGCTCTTGGATAATATGTTTAAGATTATGTGATCATCTTCTTTATATTGCAGTTATGGATTTTTGGCCAGGTATTCAGTAAAAAACACTATAGCACTGATGAGAATGAAATACACTTACTGAAATATATCTGTTAAATTGTATAGAATTGTTTGGGGTCTTGGTGTAGACTCTGTTCATCCCATTGCACTGCATGATAAAATCTAGTAATCTCGTGTACTGCTTCAGTGTTTGATTTACCAATGACTTTTTAAAACGTCACTTGTTCCAAAGAAGTAAAATTTAAATTCAACACCTTTAAGCATTTTGCTGCAGAGAACGAGGTGTTTTGTTAATTGTGTTCTCTGTGTACCTTCTTCTTTCCAAGCACGCATTTTAACACTGCTATCCTTCTCTAGTTCCAGCAGCTGAGCCCATAGAATATGCTCAGTTTCCTTTCTACCTCAATGGATTGCGTGAAACTTCTGACTTTGTGGAGGCTATCGAGAAAGTGAGAGCTATCTGTAATAACTACACCAGCCTGGGGATCGCCAGCTACCCAAATGGTTACCCGTTTCTGTTTTGGGAGCAGTACATTGGGCTTCGTCACTGGCTCCTCTTATCCATTAGCGTGGTTTTGGCTTGCACGTTTCTGGTGTGTGCCCTCTTCCTCCTAAACCCCTGGACAGCTGGGATCATTGTAAGTTTATTATAAGGGTCTTTGTTGAAGTCAAATTCCTTTCAGCATAGCTCTTGCTGTAGTCGGGAAGGTTTTGTTTATGTCTGGGCCTCTGGTGGAGTATGTATATTGCATCATTCATTATATATTTATTCAACTTAAGGGGGTAGGGTTCATGCTAAAGGTACAAACCTTAATAACCTTAATCCTTTGGCCACCTTTTTTTCAGCTTTAAAAGTTTCTTGGAAAAGTACATAAACTTTTGCCCTTGCTCAGATACATGCAAAACAAAGACACAGAGGGAAATCAAGAGCTTTATTAAACATTTAAAGTTATTCCTAATTATTTATTCCTTCTCCCCTTTTATCAGACGTAGTTATTTTTCAAGGCAGTTGCTTATGACTAACTTGCCCATAAATTTTCCCTCTAATTTCTGAATACAGTCTTTCTGGAAAATCTGAAATGGTTAGGTTGTACAGTATGCACCATGGAAAGA